ATAATTACTGTTAAGGTTAACTGCAGAAGGGGAACTGAACAGTCGGTGGATTCGTTGGTTGTTCTGTGTTTTTAGACCACAGGGAAAGGGAACAAAATCCAAGAGATATTGCCCAAGGAAGGGTTTGAAATGGCTGGAACTCCCAGGGATTTTGTCCAGGGAGAGTTTTGACATGGGTGGAACTTACTCCCAGGGATTTTGTCCAAGGAGAGATTTGTATTGGCTGGAAAAGGTTTGGCATGGCTGGAACTCCCAGAGATTTTATCCTCAGAAAGGTTTGGCATGGCTGGAACATATTCCCAGGGATTTTGTCCACGGAGAGGTTTGGCATGACTGGAAAAGATTTGGCATGGCTGGAACTCACTCCCAGGAATTTTGCCCGGGGAAAGGTTTGGCATGGTTGGAAGATATTCCCAGGAGTTTTGTCCAGGGAGAGGTTTGGCATGGCCAAAACACACTTCCAAGTATTTTATCCAGGGGAAGATTTGACATGGGTGGAACTCACAGATATTTTGTCCAGGGAAATGTTTGGCTTGGCTGGAACACATTCCCAGGGATATTGTCCAAGGAAAGGTCTGGCATGGCTGGAAAAGGTTTGGCATGGCTGGAACTCCCAGGGATATTGTCCAGGGAAGAGTTTGGCATGGTTGGAACATATTCCCAGGGATTTTGTCCACGGAGAGATTTGGCATGGCTGGAAAAGATTTGGCATGGCTGGAACTCACTCCCAGGGATATTGTCCAGGGAAGAGTTTGGCATGGTTGGAAGATATTCCCAGGGATATTGTCCAGGGAAGAGTTTGGCATGGCTGTAACTCCCAGGGATTTTGTCCAGGGAAAAGTTTGGCATGGTTGGAAGATATTCCCAGGGATATTGTCCAGGGAAGNAGTTTGGCATGGTTGGAAGATATTCCCAGGGATATTGTCCAGGGAAGGGTTTGGAATGGCTGGATTTAGCACAGCTTCTTGGTCCCAGGCTGTGCCCAGGCTCCTGCAGGCACATGGAAGTGTCCCCTGGCTGGGAGGGCAGGGTTGGATACAGGAGGACAGAGAGATGGCAGAGATGGATCACAGAGCTGGAATCTCCCCCATTTTCAGTGTGAAACGTGTGGTGCTGAGCCTCGCCCTCAGGTAACTCACATTTGCTCAGATGTGTCAAATCATGATTTAACTCCACAGCCACCGTGTGGGATGAGGTGCCCCAGCCCTGGAGCCTTTTCCAGGAGAGTTTGCAGCCCTTGGCTGGGATGTGCAGGGCTGGATCCGTCCCAGCAAAGCCGGGAGTGCTGCTGTGGAGGGGAATCTGCTGCCTGGCACCAAACGTAATTGGCTTTGATGGTCAGCGCTTGCAGATTTGTTTAGGAACTGGAAAATGTACAAATTGCAGCCCATCTGCGCAGAGCTGAGTGCTAATGAATGCCTGCAGCTACCACAGCCATAAGCTCATTACCACAAAGTTCCAAGTCCTTCCACAAGTTGCTAAACAAGGTTATTCATCTGAACGGAGTGGAGAAGGGAGTTTGACTGCAGGGCACAGCCAGAGCTCCTCCAGATCTAGAAAAGCTGTTAAAACAGCCCCCTGCTCTTTGGTCTTTTAATAGAATGGGTTGATTTTATTTCTATTTTTAATTTTGCTCTCCTGTGACAGCAGCTTGCCATGCCTTAACTATTTTCTGTTAATGTTTCGGGAGGAAAGGCGCCTTGCGGGCGATTCCTGGGCGTGCTCAGAGCCACTGGGAGGTGAACTGGAGAAGATGGATTGGAACACATCGTGCACAGCATTTCAGGGGGTTTATGGACCGTGGCAGCAAACACTAATGGCCTCTGTTCTCAGGGTGTTGGTGTCAGCTGGGAATCTGTGATGATGACTCGGCTCTTCCTCTGTGTGCCGTGTCAGGCAATTTCATCTTCCTG